CCAACTTGCATATTTTTTGCATCCGTTATATCGAGGTAATAATTCTTGATATTATTTATCTTATATGTATTAAAATACATAGCATATATATTAATTCAAATTTTTATTTAGCCATTGGGTTAAAACGAGGTCAATTCTATGAGATTTGTGAAACCGCAGCAAGTATGTGGCAAGATTTAGGTTATAATGAGGCATCATGTGAAGATCTATTGACTGAACTTCGTGCTTACAAACGGAATGAAAACTCTTATGCTCAACCATTCAAAAAAGAAAAAGAATCTCCATTAAAATGGTGGCTTACTATTGATGCTCAAAAAGAACCATTATCCGAACTTGCTATTAAAATATTTTCTATCCCGCCATCACAAGCTGTATGTGAAAGAAATTTCTCTACTCTTAAATGGATACTTGGAGATCGAAGAATAAGGCTTAACATATTTCGGTTAGAAGCAATAGCTAAAATTAGAGCCTTTTGTTATACCAATATTAAAGAGGAATTATCTTTTTATGGTAAAGAATTGTCTGAATTTGATTTGAGAGATAGTGTAAATGGTTCAACTGTTAATGCAAGCCAATTAGAATTTACCGAACAGCAATTTGATAATGAATTATCTGATTCGTCAGAATCCAACAACATACAACTAGATGAAATAAATGACGATGATTTGTTAATTGAAGAAATTATCGATCTTTCAAACCCGGCTTTTATCGGTAATAATGATTCATTTATTGAAGAACAAAGCAAGGTCTCAAATAATATGGCTCGATGGTCGGCTTCGGGAAATCATGATTATAATCCGACAAGTTTAGTAGCACGAATGTTTAATGAGAAAGAATAATTCTTTAGTATAGACTTTGCATAGGTTTTTATTGTACGTATGTACGGTACAAATAAAAATGTAATACGTATGTATAAATTATACATAGCGTATCACAAATATAGCATATTATGAGTTACGCATATAAAATCATGTTGCACTGCATAAAATAGTTACGGTATGGTAATAATAATACGGTATATACGAATATTGCGACATGCCGTAACTTAAAACAAAATGTTACGGCAAGTTATAACTTAGTTACGATGCGGCTTATCCCAATGCTCTGAGTTTCTACGGCATCCCTAATGAAGATACAAATAGACGTATATTATTTTATTTCTTAAAACTTCGAGTTATTCGTGTATTAAGACATGATTGCCCTTTATTAATGAATAACAAGTGGAAAGTACACCGATTCCAGATGGTATATCAGTGTTATTTATACATATTGTAAACTATAGATCTTCGAAGCTAATGACTATTCTATATGCTCAAGATGATACATTAAACACATAATAAATAAAAAAGATAAAAAAAGACAAATATAATATAATAATTAACATATAATATGAATTAATGTGTAACATATAATATGGATGTAATAAATGTAATTAATATTATTGAGGCCAATAAGAACTTGTACTACTGCCGGGCGCAAGTCAATGATCTTCGCAGCGTAACCAACAAAAAACCTCTGGCACGTGAGTGCTGGGCTTAGGAATGGTAAAAAAACAGTTTAGAACAGTTTTTTGTGTTTTTTAATTAAAACACAAAAATGTTTTAAAACATAACGATAAGCCCATGTATTCTTCCCAAAAAAGGGTTCAAGAATTTAGGCCGAAGTTACTCAAAATTTTACTAATGAAACCACAGCTGCACATTAAGTAAAAAATATTCCTGGGCTAATTTTGTCATTGTCCGGGCCTATTTCTCTAAAAATTTCCATTTTAGGAATGAAAAAGTTAAAAAGTTAATTCCGGCCAAAATTATGTAATGCGGGCCAATCCGTGACAAATTTGGTGCGGCAGCTAGGTTCAATAAAAAATTTGGCTAATATACTATCTAGACCGGGGTAAAATCGCCACCCAAAAAAGTTTCGAACATCACATGGCAAATTTGCTGAGCACCCAAAATTCATGTAACTTGAACAAAAAAAAATACAAACGAAAATAATTTATAGACTATAACGAATTTATTTCGAATAAACTCAATAAATGTAATGTTTATTACAGCCAGAAAGTATTATAATTACGGTTTTTCTAAGCATTTGGAATATTCCACTGTCTTTTATAATCCTCCAATTCATGCAATGGCTCTAAGTTTTTATTAATACTATCAAGCTATTTGCTACTATTTGGATTTATTATATTTTCTTCGATAATTTTTTTGTTGCGTTCTGGATTCAGATTTATGAAAACTTTTGCTCAAATAAATAATCAGAGTTATAGTCTTCCGAAAGAGTATTAAAAATAAAGTCAACAAGGTTTTCTGGTACAATTACATTTTCTTGATTGGTTTTTATAATTTTATTTCTATTTTCATTCTTTTTTTTTCGTTTATTATTAATGGAAATTTGGTTACGGCAATCTATGTATATTTTTAGAATATTTTGTTTATTGAATTTTATGTCTTTAAAAGAATCTTTTGGTTTATCGAGATTGCAACGATCGCTTTTCATTTTGAAGAATCGAAGAAAATAAATCACTTGCTAAAATCAATTAATATTTTATAAATATTATTATCATGATCTTGATCATGATGAATTGACAATATCACATGATTTTCGAAAGTCTTTTGGGTGGCCCGGTCTACTATCTACGTCTGATTTACTTAATTTTATTATATCAGAGTCTTGAATTTCTAATGAATCTTTTATGTTTGTTAGAAGCTTATTACATTTTAATAAGTGCTCTTTTAATCGAGCAATTAAATCGACACAATCTTCTTCACAGTAATTACACTTTTGGCATGGTGTCTTTTGGCCTTGCATGTCAGCTTCAGTAACTTTTGTGAAGTTCAACCAGATTTCTTTAAAAGGAGGCCTTCTACGAGACATAATGGATAATGAATTTTTTTATTATTGGCAATCGTAACGATAATAAATATATTTTATATTAAATGGATAATGAATGATTAATTTTTTTAATATTAATAATCGTAGCGATAATTATACTTTATATTAATTGCGTCATAATTTAACAATAACAATGATTACGTCAGAATGTTTTAAAATATATTAAAAACTATTTTAAACACAACAATCAAGTTTTTTAAGATCACGTTTTAAAACATTTGCCATCCCTAGCTGGGCTGTGAAAGAGATTTATTACTCCAATATCAGTATTAACATTAATCCGGTATCAATAAAATATAACTTTATTGTTTTTACTTTTTATGAATTGATATTTCTTTTTATACAAATAGATATTCCTTGTTTTTTGTTTTTTTGCAATCAATATTTATTGATTTTATTTTTTACAAATCGATATTTCTTGTTTGAGAATTTCTATTTGTACGCTATGTGTGTACATACACGGGTAATAAGAAAGCCAATCAGATTACACGATCAGGTGTAACGCAAAATTATTGCTTTCTTTAAAAAATAAATTATAACTCAAAATTTCGGTTATGAAACCACCTTTTAGGTATTAACAAAAAAAATTCCTTGCGAAATCCTTATCCTAACCTTTAACGGCGCTCAATTTTTTGTTTTATACGAATTATTTTGATTTGCACATTACACAAATTTGCAAATTAATACCCGTGTACATACCAAGAAATTTTCTTCTTGTTTTTACTTTTTACAAATCAATATTTTAACGTATTTGTACTTTAACAACTGTAGAACTTTAAAAAAAATTTTTGACAGTTACATAAATTATCAACTTTGTAAAGCTGAAGCAGTTATAACTTTTGTTGAAAAATAAAAGCCAGACCACCTTTATAGGCAAAAATAAACTAGATTGGATAAGAACTTATTCGAAAACTAATAACAAAAAAAATGCAGCGATGAATTTTTCGTAAACCAGCAATTTAATGATTTTAATTGAAAAGAGTTTAGTAATTACAACCAATAATTAGCAAAATGGATTAAAGACAATGAAAATTAGCAAAGAAATTATTTAACCCAATGGTTAAAGTTGGTCGTGAAGAACTGATTGATACCCTCAGATAGGATCCATTATTTATAATCGTTTTTTTTTATTATTTATATCCAATTTATATATTTTGTGGTAATTATTTAAGAGCCAACATTTTTATTAAGTTTGATTTTGATTTTTTGCTGATGAAAAGTTATATAATACAGTACTTGTACTTGTCATGACTGTGCTGGTAGAATTGAGTTTATTAACATTATAATTAGTATATGTTTATATACATACATACATATGAACGCTTGTACTTTTTGCATTTTTTTAAGCTAAATTTTTCGTAAGTCACAGTGAACAAGCCACAGCCACTCACTTGCCTGAGGTTTTCGTTGGTCGTGCTGGGGTAGAGTTCCAATCCGGATAAATCCGTCATCCGTTTATCCGGATAATCCAAATCGTTCGGATATCCGGATAATCCGACGGGTTATCAGATAATTATCCGGATATTAATAGT